CCATTTCCAAGCGTCTCTGTTTCTGTCTTTGTCTACAAGAGCAGCCTGTCCCACAGGTTCAGGGCTCATGCCCACGAGACTCCTCCATCCTTCAGAAAGCCTGGCAAGTCCTGGCGTCACCTGTGGTCCTGAGAAATAAGCCATAAACTGGCTGGGCCCATGACCTCCCCTTTGGTTTCATCAACCTAAAATTATTAGGGAGCAATAAGCAAGCAAAGGTGTTTTGGGGGATCAAGGAATTGTAATTTCGGATTCACAGATTTGGGCAGCAACCCGAAGAGTATCCCACCAGGGAGCAAAACTCAGGGCTTTTTTTTTTTTTTTTTAAGGAATAGGCAAAAAAAATGAGTGTTTGCATCAGTTGTTTAGAAAGAGTTTTGACTGGTGTGGGAGGCAGAAAGCTCGTCTGGGCTGAGCGTGAATGGTCCAGTTACTACAGCAAGTCGCAGGCGTTTTCTGCAGAGACCTTGAACTGTCTGTGTCTTGGTCCAGTTTGAACGTTCTCAGCTCCGCCAGGTGAGGTCAGGCAGGAGGTGAGCCTCCTGCTGACCGCCCACCTTTATCCAAACACCCTTGATATAGGAGCTCCAGTTTGTTTTACAGTTGACAGTTTTGGTGAATTTGCTCACAGAACTCAGGAAAACATTTACTAACAAGATTACTGGACTTTTAGAAAAGAAGATTAAAGGATAAGAAGAGCTAGAAGAAGGAAGTATACTTGGCCAGATCCCCAAGGGGCCTAAACCTAGGAAATTCTGCCTCTGGGCAATTTGGGCAAGACACCTTCCTGGCACGTGGACGGTTCCTGTTCCCCAACTGGAAGCTGTCAGAACCCCACCCTTTTGCTTTGTTATGGCGGCTCCATTACGTGGGCATAGTTGTTCCAGTCATTGGCTACTGGCAGTTAAGCTCCCTCTCTAGTTCCTCTCCCGTCCCAGGAGGTAGGGACAGGAGGAACTAACATTCCCATCCTTTAATCCTGTGTTGATTTCCCTGCAACCTGTCCACCCACAAGTCACGTAGGGCTTTCCCAATGTCATTTCATTAGCATAATGGAAAAACAGCTTCCTCACTCTCCTCACAAGAAATTCCAAGGGTTTTAGAAGCTCTGCCCCAGGACTGGTTCTGAGATGAAGATGTGTTTCTTTATTTTAAATCATAATGTGGCACACAGTATGCACGCTGAGACCTTGCGCATGCAACAGGTGGTTCCTTTGCTTTGCTGAGTCCTTTTCCATTTTACAGCTGTGTCAACATCTGCTCCTTTACAGCCTGGTAGACACTGGAGTTTTCTCCCCTTTGGGACTAGTATTTTATTTTTTTAAAGGCTGCTGTGAACATTTCTGTCCAAGTCTTAATGTGGACATGCTTTTAATTCTCTAGGACATAGACAGTCAGGTCCCACTTAGCAATAGGGACACATTCTGAGAGGTACGCGTTTTGACGATTCGGTCTCTGTGTGTGTGGCAGGACATAGCTGAGCAGTAGCCATAGGAGCTGGACAGCAGCCATTCTCAGACAGCAGCCATTCCCAGAGAAGCAGTTATCTCAAGATCGTGCGCTAACCCCCGCTTTCAGGAGCTGCACTCCTTCCCCCTCCTCCTTCTGCCTTTGTAACAAGAATATAAGCATGCCCCAGCCTGAGCTCAGAGCCCAGAATTTGGAGGTTTTCTCCTCTGGGTCCACATGCGTGAATAAAACTCCACTTCGCAAACTCCAACACTGTCTGAGTCGCTTTCCTGTAACATGTGAACTTGGTGGAATACATTCACGTAAACCTGGATGGCCCAGCACAGTGCTCACCTGAGCTGTGCGGCCCAGCCAGCCTATCGCTCCTGAGCCACGAATCTGTTCTTGCTCAGAACAGCACGGGAGTAAGTCAGGCACAAGAGAAAACACTTCCATGAAGGGAGACAGCAAACTCGAGCCAAATGAGGTTGCCGCTGGTAACATGGCATGCTGTTGTGCTGCACACTGCTTTTATAAGTAGAAAGAGTACACTCTAAAATCACGATAAAAAGGCCCAGGCTGATATGGTTCAGCTGGTTGGGCATGAACTGAAAGGTCGCCAGTTCGATTCCTGGTCAGGGCACATGCCTGGGTTGCAGGTTCGGTCCCCTGGGACTTGGAGGAAAGGTTGACCAATCACTGTATCTCTCTCCCTTTCTTTTCCCTCCCTTCCCCTCTTTCTAAACCAAAAAGTAAATAAATAAATAAACAAACACACACACATACACTATGTAAAATCACGACAAAAAGTATAGCATAGTACATACATAAGCCAGGAACACTGTAATGTAATATCAAGTGTTACAAACTGTACCCATTTGCAAGTGCAAGACTTGGATGTGACTGAGAGAGGAGTAGGAGTGTGGACACAAACATCCCGCCAGACACGCGAGGAAGGAGCTGCCCCACAACCTTAAGACAGCCACAATGTCGTTAGGCAGTAGAATGTGTCAGCCCCTTTATCATCTGTGGGACGCCGTCACCCAGGCCGATCACTGCTGACCAAGGCGTCGTGCGATGGCCCGCGACCAGTCCGAGGGGTGAAAGGGCTGTGTGGGCTTCCAGGAGACAGAGCCCGGCTTTCCAGAGAGCAGCGGGGCAGCTCCGCGAGTGACCTCCGCGCCGTGCTCCGGCCAGCCGGAAGGGGGCGCTCCGCGCGCTCCACCGCCAGACCGAGGTCCGTGATGTCAGACTCGCTGGTCTTAACCATTCTGCTGGGCACGTGGCGACCTCTCACGTGGCTCATTAATTAGTATCTCCCTGATGACAAATATTGCTGAATGGTTTGTTTTTTTGTTTGTTTGTTTTCTTTTGTTTTTTAATGTGCGAAGGTACTGGCTGTGTGTCTCTTGAAGCTATTTGATCATTGAGTTGAAGGAACCTCAAGTGTTCTGAGCCGCCATTGGCCTGCCCCGGGCGGGGGAGGAAAGGCAGACACAGCCATGCTTCCCTCTCTGGAAGGCAGGAGAAGGAGTGGCGAGATCGGGATTACCGGATCACCGGTGCCTGGGCTGGGGCCGGTGTGGCACTGGGTGTTGATGAGAACACAAAGCATCCCACCCCAGGGATTACCGAGGCCTGGGCTGGGGCACGTGAGTCACTGGGTGTAGATGAGCACAGAAAGCATCTTGCCCCCGGGTACCTATTGCGGATTTGCACTCAGTGTAACTGACCACAGGGCCCTGTGAAGGAGCTTCTGAAAACCACCTCCCCACACCCTCTCAGCCAGGGACTCAGAGCCAGCTAGAGCCAGAGTTCCAGCAGAGCTGAGTAGAGCAGCTGAGTAGCTGACCCTTGTCCCGTGAGCCCGCAGGGACCTGTTTGCTCTTCCCTCTCCCGCCCAGCCACCTCTCTATCCCTGCTCCCTGCGGTGGCTGGGAGGGCCTGTTACAGGAAGCCCTCTCCCAGCCAGTGGCCTCCTGCCTGGCCTGAGGGTCAGACAGCCCCTCCCTTGCTCTCCCTCACTCACTCACGGCTCTTCAAGCTAATGAGACCTGCCCTGATTCCCCAGCCAGGCTGCCGGCCTTAATCTCTCCTAGTAGGGGGCTGGGGGCAGGCCAAGAAAGAAAAGGCCCCTTATAGGGAGGGACAAGGACCCAGCCACAAGGCGGGATTAACACGACCTCATGTGCATGTGTGTATGTCTGTACATGTATGTTTGTGCATGTGGGGAAGTAGCACAGACCCCCGTGAGGACCCGGAGCTCAGGGAGACAGAGAGAGGAAGACCCAGAACAATAGAGATGAGCCCAGTCCAGAGGACAAGACAAGGGAGGTTTATGACAGGGAGAAAGAGACGGAGGGACAGTTAGAAAGAACGAGAAGCAGGAAGAAGCAGGGAAGAGAGAAAGCAACAGGGAGAGAGACTGGAGCATAGGAGACCGGATGGAGAGGGACAGAGGCTCCGAGGGCAGCCTAAGTTACAGGGAGAGGCGGACAGACAGGGGACGGGGACAGAGAGACACAGCGGCTGAGGGAGACAGAGACAGACCAAGTCACAGAGAGTGAAGGAGACACAGAGACTGAGAGAGACCAAGAGAACACAGGTAAATCGAATAAGACAGGGACAGAGAGATGGAGAATAAGAGAGGAGCACACTGGCCCTGGCTGGTGTGGCTCAGTGGATTGAGCACAGACCTGCAAACCAGAGGGTCGCCGGTTCAATTCCCAGTCAGGGCACAGGCCTGGGTTGTGAGCCAGGTCCCCAGTGAGGGCCACAAGAGACCACCATACATTGATATCTCTCTCTCTCTCTCTCTCTCTCTCTCTCTCTCTCTCTCTCTCTCCTTTCCCCTCTCTAAGAATCTAAAATAAATAAATAAAAAGAGAGGGCACACTGGCAAATTGGCAGAGGTGGTATAATCTGAGGCCCAAAAGAGAGAGACTGAGGCACAGAGACCCCAACCAAAGACCAGTGGCTGGGAGGGAGGGAGGGAAGGAGGAAGACAGAGAGAGACAGACAGGGAGAGAACCCCAGCGAAAGAGGAGGGGAGGAAGTGTGAGGAGCTGAGGACCAAAGTGCAGGAAAGTCAGAGATGAGAGGGATGGAAGTGGAGGCCAAGGAAGGGAAGCAAAGGGAGCCAAAGGCAGAACAGGAGGACACTGGGGCAGAGCAGACATGAATTCATGGGCACACATATTGTCAGGCAGAGAAAGGGGGGCCCAGGAGTGGGACCCGGGAGCCCTGCTTTCTCGTTTTTCAAGCGACCTCTCAGGAACACCCAGTGCTGTCACCTTCCTCTTTCATGGGACAGCAGCCGAAGCTGGAGGGACACCAGTTAGAGCTAAGGAAGAACTTCTCTGAGGAGTGGGGGCTCCGGGTCACAGGCAGGAGAGAGGGCCTCCCTTCCCCATCGGCCCTAATTGCCCAGATGGCGTGGTGGGGACAGGAGAGGATTAGGCAGACGGGCACCCCTCCCCCTCCCGGCCAATGTCACCTCCCTGTGTCCAGTGTGGTCCCCCACCCGGGCCCAGGATTACCCTCCGCAATCCAGGCCACACAGCAAGTGACATCACTCCCAGCCGGGGCTTAAAGTCTCCCACCGTGAGGGGACCCGCTCCCTTCAGCCTCTGCTCTTGCTGTCGGACGGACGAGTCCGCCCGGGACGTGGGCCTGTCCCTCCTTTCCGGAGGTGAGTGTCTGCTGGGGCACCAGAGGGGGCCGGGGAAGAGGGCGAGACTGGGGACAGGGGCGAGCAGCACCTGGGTCCTTTATTCAAGGCTGCCTCCCGTGTCCGGCAGGGGGCTGGTAAGGACAATCCCACAGAAAACAGGGGTCCCATCCTGACGTTCGGGGACACTGCTGAGTCGTGACCGCCGCAGGAGAGCATGGGGGTAGGCGGAGGGACTGGCCCATGGCAGGGGGACACTGGAGGACTCAGGGACGGTGACCCAAGGTCATCACTGCCAGAAACATTCTCATCACTCGCACCCGGCTCCCCTCTGAACCCTGACTTCCTCCCATGCCCGCCCGTCACGTGGCCAGGATGCCCAAGTATTTGTTGACTCGACAGAAATAGAAGCGACGTGACACCCCAAGAGGGCCAGGCTGTGTGGCTGCAGCAGGAGGGAGGGGCCCCGGAGGGGGGCCCAAGGGGACTGGGAGCAGGGCGATTTGGGGGTCCGGGTGCTGCTGGTGGATCGATTACATGGGGGGCCCCCTTGCTTCCAGAGGCTCTGGCTTTCCCTGTGTCCCATCTCTGGTCCTTGTCCCAGTGGATGGAGGAGCCCCTGGGGCCACCGAGGTCTGACGAAGGGGGACCTTGAACGAGGGGAGTCTGGCCCAGGCTGACGTGCAGCCACGTGAGCCTGCCCTGTCTCACTGTGCAGCCTGGGGCCCTCTGCACGGCCTCTCTGGGCCTCGGTCTCCTCATCTGCAAAGTGGGGACAATGACAAGTCACCACAGTGATTCAGTCGGATGAGCCAGGGCAAGCCCATGTCTCAGTCGGAGCCTGCTCTGGGGGGATCCCGGGGAGATGTGAGGGTCAAGGGCAGGGCTCTGGGGCCTGAGGTGTCTGGGCTCTGTTCCTGGCTGGGTCACACACACCTGTGTGACCTCGAGAATTGACAGAACCACACTCAGCCTCCATTTCCTTGTCTGAGCAGTGGACGTCCGAGGTCCAGGGAGGCGGTGGTCAGTGTCCCTGAGAGGCCGTGTGGCACGGCGACCGGGAGGGCACAGGCCTGGGGCTCAAGGGCTGGCTGAGCCCTGGCTCTGCCACTGACGTGCGATGCAGGCCCAGGGACCCTCCTCTGAGCCTTGTCTGGGCCTCGGTCCCCTGGTCTGGGAAGCGGGCCAGAAACAGGAAGTTCTCACTGCACTGTGGCTCCCTGAGACCTTGTCCCCAGGGCCCTGCCCACGCCGGCGGCTGAGTACTGGGGGTTCCAGCTGGAGGCCATTCAGGTGATCTGCTGCCTGACCAGGGGCGGGCTCCTTCCTCCCCGCCCCCGAACCTCAGTTTCCCTGCCTGTAGAATGGGGTGATCTCCGTGAACACCCACCGGATGGGCATGAGCCTTCAGGCCTCACCTGTTGAAGCACCTGCCCAGACTGCTGAGCCCCAGGAGTCCTGAGCACCCCACAAGTTGGCCCCCTCCCAGAGCGGTCTCCCTCCCCCTGCTCTTCAGGACCGTGACACTTCATTTCCCTGGCAGGGCATTCACAGGGCTGGGGTCGGCCCGTCACATACACTCCCCACGAGAGGTGGACACTGCTGCTATCTGCCTTGGGGAGGAGTCCTGAGGCTCCAGTGCCATCAGCTGCCTCATCCTTAAAAAAAAAATTTTTTTATTTATTGATCTTAGAGAGAGGAAGGATGACAGAGAGTGGACCATCGATTTGCTGTTCCACTCATTGATGCACTCATTGGTTGACTCTTGTATGTGCCCTGACCGGGGATCGAACCCACAACCTGAGCACATCAGGGTGCTGCTCCAACCAAATGAGCCACCCAGCCAGGGCTCAGCAGCCTCATCTGATTGCCAAACCCAGAGACACTTTACAGGGGTTCTCACTGTTAGTTTTACTATTATTCTTTGTTCTCATCTAGTCCTCTCTTATCGGAGGTTTCTATTTTCAAGGTCATTATCACTATCACTGGCTGGTAGGAACTCGGCTCCTAGCCACGCAGACCTGTCCACAGGTTGGCTGGGGCATCCACCAGCTGGAAAGCCAGCCTTGGGGGTCTGTGACATCCTGTGGGTTGCACCCGTCAGCCCTGCTCAGTGGGAAGGACAGTTCAAGAGTGTGGAGACCATGATCAGGCACCGCCGAGGACACCAATAGATTCTCCTGATCTGATGTTGTTTTGTTTGTGTTATTGTCATCAGCACAGAGCGTCCCTACTGTTGCCCTATCAGGTCCTTGGTGGTCTTACTGCACTTTCCCCCGTGTTTAGGCATCCCAGTCACAGTGGAACCCGTGTTTCTCCTCCTACAAGAGAAGAAAGAAGCATTCCAGCCCTGGCTGGGGTGGCTCAGTGGATTGAGTGCTGGCCTCTGAATCAAAGGGCCACTGGTTCGATTCCCAGTCAGGGCGCATGCCTGGGCTGCAGGCCATATCCCCATATGGGGTGTGCTAGAGGCAACCACAAACTGATGTTTCTCTCTCCCTCTCTTTCTGTCTCCCTTCCCCCCTCTCTCTAAAAGCAATGAGAAGAAAAGTCCTTGAGTGAAGATAAAAAAAAGGCTATCCAAACTGTAAAAACAAGGTATGGATACAGCACACCTCCCCAGAGGTGGCCCTTTACCCTCTCATGCCCTTGCTGGGAATGTCCTCCACCTAGACCAGCGTATAATAATAATAATAGTAGTAGTAGTGCTGGTTGTAATACTACTACTAGTAGTAGCAGGTGCAGCAGTAGTCCTACTGGTAGTAGTTGTCGTCGTAGTAATAATGCACAATCATTGCCTTGTTTTAAAAATCACAAAATGCTATGCCATACATCTGAAACTAATATATTGAATGTCAACTGAAATTGAAATTTTTTCAAGTTTTTAAGTACAATAATAAAAATCACAAGTGGTAGACTTCCTCTACACACTGCTCTGCACCAGACTTTTCTTTGACTATATAACACATATCGTATATGCATATATCATATCATTTACCTTCTAATAATTCAGTAGTGTGCAGTCCCTGTGATACAGATACACACACCCTTATTTTCAAATGTAATTTTAAAATATTTAAAAACTTCTTGAACACAAATATAACAAACAGGAGTCAACAATTTCTGTACGTCCTTGGGAACCAGTTATTTTGGAGACAAATTCAGGGAACAGAGATGGATGCGGTTCTGCACCCATGTAACCATCCGTGCATGCAGTTGCACATGCATACATCATACAAGCACATGTGTGTCCATCCCTGCATCCATTCATCTACTCATTCCCCCACACAGAGACCCACTCATCCATCCCACAGCCACCTACAACCTGGTATGTCAGAAATGCACTTGGGAGGTCATCATTCGAACTTCTTTTGTTTGTTTTAATTAATCCTCACTGGAGGACATGCTGATTGATTTTAGAGAGAGGTAGAGGGAGGGTGAGAAACACCAGCGTGAGAGAGAAACATTGATCGGTGGCCTCCTCTCTGTGCCCAGACTGGGGACCGAACCTGTAACCTCGGTCTGTGCCCTGACTGGGGATCAAACCCAGGAGCTTTCAGTTTATGGGTCGACAGTCCAACCAACTGAGCTGCACTGGCCAGGTTCACGTGGACATTTTAATGTGACCTTCCCCTAGGTCGGGGTGTCAAAGTCATTTTCACCGGGGGCCGCATCAGCCTCTCGGTTGTGTTCAAAGCGCCGAATATAATTTTGACTCCTGAACAGTTAAGGAGTAATTACATGTATACAGTCCTGAAATTACATTCAGCCCTTTGAAGGCAACCGCGAGGTTGACGTGGCCCCCGGTGAACGTGACTGTGACACCCCTGCCTTAGGGTCAGCAACCAGCCCAGTTTGTCTGGGACTCTCCCAGGTTTGGCCCTGAAACCCCTCACCTTTACAAACCCGCTCTGTCCCAGCCCTACTGGGACAGCTGGCCAGCCGGCTCTCCGTGTTTCTGCGTAAGTTTGAATGTCTTGTCCAGGGTTGAAGAAGGAAAGGTTTTAGAGACGGAAGTAATATGATTAGATTTGGTTTATTTTTAATCCTCACCTGAGGATATGTTTGGGTTTGTTTTTTTGTTTTTTGTGGGGTTTTTTGTTTGTTTTTCAGAGAAAGAGAAAGTGAGAGAAAGAGGGAAACATCGATCAGTTGCCTCCCCAAACAGTGACGGAAGCCCGCAGCCCTGGGTTGCGCCCTGACGGGGGACATACTCTCAGCCCTTCGGGGTTTGAGCCGTTCGGCCACGGCAGGGCCAGGATCTTTAAAAGATGGGGCAGGAAGAAGGGCTTTTCTTTACAGTGTCCATGACAGCTCCAGCTCTGCTTTACAGAGTCTTGGTGAGGCCTTGAGGACCCTGAGCCTTGGGCTGGTTTTAAAGGTGGGGAAACTGAGGCTCCAAGGCCCAAGGCCACATATCTACAAAGAGACTGAGGCAGGATTTGAACCTAAGCCTTCCTGTCACCGCAAGGTAGCCAGGGGTGTCTGAGTCCTGTCCACCCTTCCCTTGCAGGCCCACCGGCCTGGGCCCCAGTGCCCCCGACGAACATGATGGCGTATATGAACCCGGGGCCCCACTACTCCGTCAGCGCCTTGGCCCTGAGTGGTCCCAGCGTGGATCTGATGCACCAGGCTGTGCCCTATCCAAGTGAGCACAGCCCTTCTCCCCGCCAGCCCGACTGGTCCCTCCCTTGGGGGGCCTCTGGGGCCCCTGGTCCTCAGGAAGAAGATGGGCACTTAAACAGGGGTGACATCAGGGCCACACGCAAATGCAAAACACCACTCCCTATCATGTGCAGAGGAGCATATGGGCTTTCCCAGAAAATAGGACAGAGGTGGCGTGGGAGCGGGGAGAGCGATCTGGAAGAGGCACCCAGAGAAATCCCCATCTGTCAGCAACGCTTTATTTCTAAGAGAAGTGAGCACTCCTTTTTTTTTTCTTTCTTCTTCTTCTTCTTCTTCTTCTTCTTCTTTGGTGTGGTACTATTTCTTAGCTTTTTTTTTTTTTTCATTAAATTGAACATTATGGACCTGCCACTTCGATAGGCTAGAAATGGTTGAAAGTCCACAATTCCTTCAGTGCCTGAGACATTTTAGAAAGAGGCCTAAAAGCAAACCCCTACACCTCCTTACAAGGCTCAAGCCAGCTCTCCTCGGGGTGTGGTGTGAGCCCCAGAATGACAGGCAAAGAGGGGCCCATTCCCAGGGGGCAGAGGGGTGCCTGAAGGTCAGAGCCGATGAACACCCTCAGGGCCTCACACCAGCTGTAGGGGAACCTGGGAGGCCCGAGTCATCTGCGAGTCCCATTTTCCCATCCCCCACCCAGGCGCCCCAAGAAAGCAGCGGCGGGAGAGGACCACCTTCACCCGGAGCCAGCTGGAGGAGCTGGAGGCACTGTTTGCTAAGACCCAGTACCCGGACGTGTACGCCCGCGAGGAGGTGGCTCTGAAGATCAACCTGCCGGAGTCCAGGGTTCAGGTGCAGCATTCTGGTCCCCAAGCCCCTCCCAGCCCTTCCTGGGACCCAGAGCCGTGGGAGGAAGGAGGGGTCCCAGAGGGAACAGCCACCATCAGGAAGGACCCTAAAAATTCCTCACTGGCCTCATCTCTTACCACTCCTACACTTCCCACTATCCCCCCTTGCCAGCTGCCCCCCGCCATGCTGTTCTTCTTCTAACATGCCTGCCAAACACACTCCTGCCCCAGGGCCTTTGCACGCTCCGTTCCCTCTACCCAGAGGGTTTACTCCCCATCACTTTGTTCAAGATCTCCACCAAACAATCAAGTCACCTTGTCAGTCAGTGGGACTTACACCAACAGTCGAATTTAAAGTTGCAATCTGGCCCTGACCGGTGTGCTCAGTTGGTTGAGTGTCAACCCACAAAGCGAAAGGTCACTGGTTCGATTCCCAGTCAGGGCACATGCATGGACTGCAGGCCAGTCCCCCATTGGGAACCTGTGCAACAGATCGCTGTCTCTCTCACAATCGGTGCTTCTCTCCCTCTCTCCCTCCTGTCCCCTGCCTTCCCCTCTCTCCAAAAATAAATAAATAAGTATCATTAAAGTTGCGATCTTTCCCTACCCCACAACTCTACTGCTCCCCCTTATCCTATTCAGCTGGGTTTTCTATAGTATTTGTCACTTTCTAAGATACTATGTGATTTACTTGCTTACTGTGTATTTATAATCAGTCTCCTCAACTAGAAGAATGTCAGCATCACTGATGGAGAAGACAGTTAATGCATGTTTATTAACTGGTTGAATGGGTGAATGTGTGTATGTTTGACTGCATGTATGTACACGATTGGATGGATATATATGATTGTATGTACATACTGGACGAGTGTATTTATGTGTATATGAATGATTAGATGGATGGATGATGGATGGATGAATGGATAAGTAGATGGATGGATGGATGGATGAGTGGGTGGATGGATGAGTGGATGGGTGGATGGATGAGTGGATGGGTGGGTGGATGGATGGATGAGTGGATGGGTGGATGGATGAGTGGATGGATGGATGGATGGATGGATGAGTGGATGGATGGATGGATGGATGAGTGGATGGGTGGATGGATGGATGAGTGGATGGGTGGGTGGATGGTTGGATGGATAAGATGAGTGGTTGGATGGATGGATGAGTGGATGGGTGGATAGAAGGATGGATGCATGCATGGATAGATGGACAGAGGGATGGACTGCCCATAAGTGACTGCAAAGTGGAGAGATGTGACTCTGGCGTGTCTCACCAATAAGCAGCAGCATCCTTCCTGAGCATCATAAGGGCTCTCCTGCTCTTCCTCCCCACTCACCCACCTGCTCTCTCCTCTTGTCCTCCAGGTTTGGTTCAAGAACCGCAGGGCTAAATGTAGGCAGCAGCGGCAGCAGCAGAAACAGCAGCAGCAGCCCCCAGGGGCACAAGCCAAGGCCCGTCCTGCTAAGAGGAAGGCAGGCTCATCCCCAAGGCCCTCCACTGATATCTGTCCAGACCCCCTGGGTATCTCAGATTCTTACAGCCCCCCTCTTCCCGGCCCCTCAGTCTCCCCCACCACAGCAGTGGCCACTGTGTCCATTTGGAGTCCAGCCTCAGAGTCCCCTTTGCCAGAAGCCCAGCGGGCTGGGCTAGTGGCCTCCGGGCCTTCTCTGACCTCGGCACCCTACGCCATGACCTACACCCCAGCCTCTGCTTTCTGCTCTTCCCCCTCGGCCTATGGGTCTCCCAGCTCCTTCTTCAGTGGCCTGGACCCCTACCTGTCTCCCATGGTGCCCCAGCTGGGGGGCCCGGCTCTCAGCCCCCTTTCAGGCCCCTCTGTAGGCCCCTCCCTGGCCCAGTCCCCCACCCCACTGTCAGGCCAGAGCTATGGCCCCTACAGCCCAGTGGACAGCTTGGAGTTCAAGGACCCCACGGGCACCTGGAAGTTCGCCTACAGCCCCATGGACCCTCTGGACTACAAAGACCAGAGTGCCTGGAAGTTTCAGATCTTGTAGAAGCAGCTCGTCTCCGTTCCCCTCCATCTCTTGTTGAGATCTGCCTCCCTGAAGCTTCGATACTCGGACGGCAGCTCCAGGAAAGCAGCGGGAGCCAGCCATGCGGCCCAAGGCTAGGGCCACTTCTGCTTCCTGAGCGGCTTAACTCAGCACAGTCCACCCTGCTCCTCAGCCCAGTGCACCTCCTCACACTGATTCTGGCATTTTAACCCACAAGCCCTAGGCTGGGGCTGAGAACTTGCCCCAAGACTGGATGAAACCAAGCCTGCTGTTGACCTGGGGGCAATATTTAGGTCAGAATCGAGATGCCGCTGAAAAAAACAGTAGAAAGGCTCAATTCCTTAACTTTCCATGTGACACACTTCTTTAGCATGTGGCTAGAGATCCTTCTAGAACTCCCAGAGACAGACTTTAAGAGGCCCCATCATGGAAACTTAGGCCAGCTACACAGTTCAATCAAGAACATTTACTCGGCAATGTGAGCAGACTTCACAAATGCCAGGTTTGCATGGTAAGGTTAGGGGGCTGTTTGCTATGTTTAGCATTATTTCTTATAACAGGGATGTCATCGTCCAGCCATTCATGCATTCGGACCTTGGGCAAGGACACATCTGGGGGAGTGGAGGGCAGGGTGTCTGTTCCACGTCTATCAGTTTTTCCTTGTGTTCTAGGGCGTTCTAAAGGTGAAGTTCGCCCAGACTCTGGAGGAACAGTGGTAGTTGTAAGGGGAGTCCCAGCTGCAGCTGTGGGTGTTCCAAAGAGAAGAGCAGGTGGACAGGCTTCCCACCTGTAAACATACAAAAACCAGAGTGGGGGGTGGGAAAGAAATGGATTTGGAGAAAGTCCTCCATTTCAAACAGACAATCCCTCTTTCAGAGTCTTGTTGGCAGTTTCAATGGCGGGACTGGACCGCTGTGCCTGGCCCGAGGACGCTTTCCCAGGGCAGCACCACATTACTTTCTACACAGTTTGACCCACAGCCACAGAGATGGCCCGAGGAAGACCTCAGGAAGGAGTCCCCTCAGCATTGGGGCCCTCCTGGGAGTTTGGTGCCTTGGCTTCTGCCTCCTCAGCCTGGCTTCTCCTTTCATTTCTGGCTTGGAGGAGTTTCACCCATGGGTGTCACAAGGCTCGAGGTGAAAGAGAGTGGGGTGAGAAGGTGGTGGGAAGCTGGTAGATGCTTAGCAACTGGCTCCCCAGGTAAAGGGCCTCGATTTGTAGTGCTTGCCAATTCCCGTGGTGTAAATACTCCTGCTAAGGCTGAGTTCACCAAACTCAGAGTTGGGAAGAGATGTGCGTAATTGGGGCTCATGAAGGGGTAGGAGCTGGCTCCAGGCCCCCAGAGTGGGAAGGGGTACCAGGAGGAAGCTGCAGTGTGAAGAGAGGCTGGGAGGCATCAGGTGATTTTTCTGGGTTCGGGCCAAGAGAGGTGCCCACATCCTGAACCCCCGGTGGGTACAGTGTGATCACTAGAGCCCACAGAGTTGGTTTACTCAACATGCCACTTGGTCATCTGGTGTGGGCCTGAGTCATGCTTGACCCTGCGACCTTAAACCTGGGAGAGGGCCACTGATAAAGAGGAGGATGGCACGTGTTGGAGTGTAGGATGGAGGGTTCCAGACAAGATTCACAGGAGAGGGACAGGCAAAGATGACATTGTGCTGTAGCTTGGGACCAGAATGCATGGTTGGTTATTCATGTAGTAGACACTCCCACACTCTGTGGGGGAGCTGGGTGCAAAGGGGAGTCCCCCATCCACAGGAGAGGGCACGCCTGTGCAAGCGATTCAGCGGCAGCTTGGTGAGGGGGTTCGGGGAGGGCTTGGTGGATGGACGTGATGCGCTGAAGGCAGTAGAGGCTGGGACCCCTATCTCGGAATCTCCCAAGACTTTTCAAGGAGTTGGAAAGAGCAAGGAGTAGAACTGTGCGGGAGCTTGCTGGGCCAACCAGAGGGTCAAAGGGTTCACTTTCTAAAGCCAAGAAGAGTGACAAGGGAAGTGGGGACAGAAGGAAGGGGCCACCATCCTTCGTCCCCCTCTTTCCCACTCCCTGGAACTCCCAGTGTCCCCTCCCCGGCCCCTCTCAGAGTGAAAATGATTAAAACGTTGAATCCCACTTAAAGCCTGGGCGACTTATTTTTATTTCTGCAGATGGGCAGACCAGAAGGGTAGAAACAGAAATTGCCCTGTCCCTTCCCTCCCACCCCCAAGTTCCATCTCTGGGTGTGCGGGCCCATCCACACACTTCCTCTGTTTGGTCACTGACTTTTCCTCCCAAAAGCCAGTGAAGCAGGGACATAGGCTCAGATGGCCAGCCTCCACCCGCGGTGGCCTCGCTGGGCGCCCCAGACTTCCCGCCTCAGTGGCCCCCTTGATGGTGGAGCCCTCCCCATTGACCTCTGTGGCTTCACCCTCCCCTCCTCCTCTCCCATCTCTTGCCCCTGAGTCACTTCCATTTCCCGCCATTTCTCCCTAATCTCTTCCTTTCTCTCCCTCTGGACTGTCTGTCAGTCCTTGTTTCTTTTGGCTCTATTTTTTGCCTTTTTCCTTCTCCTTCTCACTCCCTTTGCCTCCGGCTTCCTGCTCCTCAACCTCTAAGTCGCCTCTCTCTGCTTCTGTTCCTCTTGATCATTGAGTGCCAAGGGGGTTGAACACAGGATTGACGGGGTCAGACACACTTGCTGTCGGAGTCTGGTTCAGCCATGGTGCTCACGTGACCTTAGGGGATTCATGCTGCCCAACCTCGGTTTCCCCACATGGGGCATCAGGAAGACCTACCTGGAGAGAATTAAGTGAGATTATTATATATTAAGTAGGTGTCCATGCTTATAGGCCAGTATATATTTATTTCTTCTTGTGGTTAAAATACACATTCCCCCTGGTGGGGTGGCTCAGTTAGTTAGAGTGTTGTCCCGATACACCAAGGCTGTGGGTTCAAACCCCAGTCAGGGCACATACAAGAATGTATAAAGCAATAGCAGAAGCGTGGTCCCCTGAGGGTGAAGGGGGGCGGGATAGGAAGGGCCTGCTTCATGGGTACAGGTTTCTTTCTATCTGAGTGACAGAAAAGATCTGAGATTAGATAGTGGCCCAGCAATTCCACCCCAAAGAACTGAAAACAGGTATTCAAACAAAAAACTCCAGACTTCCGGCAAGATGGAGGAATGGGTGGATGCACCGTACCTCCTCGCACAACCAAGAATAGAACAACAATAATTTACAGATATAATATCACTCAGAACTGTCAGAGGATTTATCTGAATGGAAGTCGGACAGCCAAGAAGTTGAAGTAGACCCGTACATCCAGACTGGTAGGGGACGACGAGCCGGGCAGGCGCGGGGCTGGCGTGGGTCGGCGGCGCGCGGAGGTTGGGGAAAATTTGGCGCAAAATCCGCGTGACAGCCATCTGGGGTGCAAGAACGCAGTGGTGATCCCTGAGTGCGCAAGCTGCAGCTGGGGGACCCAGTGAAGCAGCAATTGTGGACCAGGGCGGAGCTCTCGGCCCAGGATCCCAAAGAGGTGTCTGAGCCCAGGAGAACGGAACTACCGCCATTGTTCCTGCCCGTCCCCACTCCTGCCCCCGCCCCCACATATAACGTCACAACCTAGTGACTGGGGCGCCCAACTCTGGTGAGCACCTAAGGCTCCGCCCCCCACCGTAACAAGAGCGACCAGACCCGGAAAAAAAAAAAAAAAGGAGAGGCAGGGAAAGACATAAGACATGTTTCCAGCAGAACAGATCAGTCCCCCAGGACTCATCCTTTTGAGCGACCAAGAAATAGCCAATCTATCAGATGCACAGTTCAAAACACTGGTGATCAGAAAGCTCACGGAATTGGTTGACTTTGGGCGCAATTTAAATGAAAGGATGCAGGTTACCATGATGAGATGCAGGAAGATACGCGGAGGAGAGCCAATAGTGAAAGGAAGGAATCTGAGTCTCAAAACAATACAGTGGACCAGAAGGAAGATAGAATCAACCAAGCAGGAAAGCATGATGAAATAAGAATTCAAAAAAATCGAGGAAAAGCTTAAGAGCATCCAGGACACCTTTAAACGTTCCAACATCCGAATTATAGGGGTACCAGAAGGGGAGGAGCAACAAGTGGAAAAGTTATTTGAACAAATAATAAAGGAGAACTTCCCCAATCTGGCAAAGGGAACAGTCTTCCAAGAAATCCAAGAAGCTCAGAGAGCCCCAAAGAAGTTGGACCCAAGAAAAGACACACCAAGGCACATCATAATTACATTAGCCAAGGTAAAAACGAAGGAGAGAATCCTAGAAGCAGCAAGAGATAAGGGGACAGTAACCTACAAAGGAGTTCCCATCAGACGGTCAGCTGATTTCTCTAAAGAGACCTTACAGGCAAGAAGGGGCTGGAAAGAAATATTCCAAGTCATGAAAGACAAGGACCTACATCCCAGATTGCTCTATCCAGCAAAGCTCTCATTTAGAATGGAAGGGCAGATAAAGTGCTTTTCAGATAAGGTCAAGTTAAAGGAATTCATCATCACCAAGCCCTTATTTTATGAAATGCTAAAGGGACTTATCTAAGAAAAGAAGATAAAGAAAAGACATGTATAGTAAAAGGACAGCAAACTCACAATTATTAACAACCACACCTAAAGCAAAACCAAAAGAAACTAAGTAAACAACTAGAACAGGAACAGAGCCACAGAAATGGAGGGCACATGGAGAGCTAGCAGCAGGCGGGTGGGAGGAGGAGAGAGGGGGAAAAGGTATAGAGAATAAGTAGCATAGAATGTAGGTTGAAAATAGTGGGAGGGCAAGAATAGTACGGGAAATGTAGAAGCTAAAGAACTCACAAGTATGACACATGGGCATGAACTAAAGGGGCGGAACGTGGGTGGGAGAGGGGGTACAGGGTGGAGGGGAGAGAAGGGGGGAAATGGGACAACTGTAATAGCATAATCAATAAAATATATTTAAAAAAAAAAACTCCTACACCCCTGTTCATGGCAGCGCCATCCCCCAACACCGAAAGCCGGCGCCCTGGCAGTGGTGGGGTGGGAAGCAGGTGGTTGGAGCATCCACTCAATCCACCCTCAGGGCGTGTAGGGAGGCAACCGTCCATGTTTCTGTCTCACACCTGTGTTTCCTTTTCTCTCTCACTTCCTCCGTTTCTAAAATCAACGAACCTGACCTTAGGTGAGGATTGAAAAAAAAAAAAGCAGTGACCTGATGAACAGAACAACAGCGGTGGAGAGCGCACTGATGAGGGAGAGACTACAGGCCCCAAGCAGTCCGTGATGTGTGGTCCCACATATGTGACATTCTAGAAAAGGGGGTGTCGTAGAGGCAGGAAGCCAGCCTGGGTTGCTAGGAGCTGGGGTCAGCAGGCGGAACTCAGTGAGAGGGAATCTTGGGAGCTAGACGTGTTCTCTGTCTCGACTGTGGTGCGGTGCCACAGCTGCCAACAGGCACCCACTCTGGACACTCAAACGGGCCCGTTTTACAGTCCGTGTAGCTTACCTCCACGCACCAGCTAGGGGAAAAAAAAAAAAGAGAGAGACAAATTCACTGAGCAGGCGCCATCAGCCAGACGGCGGTAAAAGCAAGTCCTAGCACTCTGAGTTCTCAGAACAACCCAGCAGACACACGCTCTCACACGCAGGCAGGGTCAGTGTCATCCCTGTCTCCCAGACGGGAACCCGAGGCAGGGAGGCCAGGACACCCGCCCAGGTCCAAACCAGGAGCAGGTGGCCCTGCGACTCCCGTGTCACCTGTGGGGATGCACCCCTGCCACGTCCCCCTGGCATTCCCCCACCCCTCCCCACTTTTGGTCCCGTCTTTCACATCCACGGCCTCCCTTCTCAGGTCCCTCCTTCCTTCCTCGGCAAGCGTCAGGCTGGCCAAACAGTCTGCTTACTTCTTCCCATAAAATTAAAATACACATTTTTCACTTTCACCAATAACTCTATTGATGTGGATACTTTGAGAATGTCAGCTGTCTCCCATGAGGTATAACGTTGACGGTTCTCAGCAAATGTCTCCGTGGGACCGGAGCACCGCCCAGCCAGGAATCTCCAGCAGGAAACCCCGCAAACCACTGTTGACGCGTTTGATCGGTCACAGCACCGTCTCCTCACAGGCCTTTGTGTGTGTGTTTCAGCGGCATTTTTACCTTCCTCAAAATAATAAAGCATGATATGCCAAAATTGTTGTTTCTTTTCTTCCACCTTCGATATTAAAATGGCTACACAAAAATTCACCAGTTTTGACAAGTTTTTCTAAATGCACGCTGCTAGGACAGCTGCCACAGTACAGTCTAAAAACTGTTTCGGAGAAACTTAAAGACAACAAAACATTACTAGACCGTCTTCTGTGAAAAACACCAAATGAACTCTTTGGCCATCCCCACATTTCTCTGCCTCCTCGCCTCCGTCCATCTCCCCCTGCACCCCCGTGTCCTCGTCCTCCCTCCTGATCTCCTGGCCCTCCTGCTGTGTCCTCTGTCCCCCAACGGGACTAATTTAGCAAATGCTCCAATCCTCTTACCCAGAAGGCTCGGCCTCAGCAGAAGGGCAGGAGAATTAGTGGGGATTAGGTTCAGACTCCTGTCCCGCAGGGGAGGGGACTTTGTGGGGACATCCGAGTTTTCACTAGGGGGTGCTGTACCCACTCCTGTCCCCTCCGTGTGAGGTCATGCCTGGGACCCACAACGACAATCAAATCACGGCTAAACTCCAGCAGGCCCTTACCCCATGCCCAGCTAAGAGTGCTAAGCGCTCTTAGCACTTGCCTTGTGATGTTTCCCTCTTTGAGGGAGGGCCCACCTCCCTGTCTGCTATTTGATGGACTGGGGTGGGGGGCGGGGTGCAGTGACTTTCCCAAGACAAACAGAATCCAGCCCCCACCTTCCCAGGCATCTCAGGTGAGGGATGAGGCCACAAAGACATGAGAATGGGGTGACCCTGGGGTCACACAGCCTGCAGGGAAACTCTAGTTTGGTGACTCCAGAGACCAAGCTTTCAACCCTGGCCAGGTGTCTCTGTGAGTTGGAGCATCGTCCTGTACACCAAAAGGTTTGGGGTTCGATCCCTGGTCCGAGCACATGTGGGAGGCAACTGACTGATGTTTCTCTCTCT